CACAGGGGGAAAAAAAAAAAAAAAAAAAAAAAAAAGTAAAAAATATTAAGTCACTTCTTTAAAAATTAGCCCCCCCTCGATTAATCCACAGGTCCCAAAACACGTGCCGATACTCTGGATGACATTTGCCTTTACTGCATGAGCATCAAATTCCTGCTGCTAATCTGTCGCGCTTGTGCCAATCTTCACACATGAAAAGCTGACTTGACCTCAACACACCAGATTTTTTTCCTGGGTGTCACAATTGAAAGTGACAAGTGGGATAGGGACGTGTCCCAAATTAAACCTTTGTCACATTGCCAGTCAAGTAAGAAACTAGTAGTGAGCTGGCTTTGGCAATTTTTCTTTTTTCAGTTTGTCAAAAAAAAGGTAGAACACTCATTCCAGTCATAATACAGTCTCATTAAATGGCAAAACTTTACAAACTAAGCCTTGTGCAACACTCTTGACATTTGGAGCCGCATTTTGGGCCTCCTAGATTTAGCAAGTTGACCACCCCTGCTTTAGCGCTTGATTCTCTGTATAAATATTCACACTTACCAGCGGGTACTGATCACTATGTCCAGAGTAGACCAGCAACACTTTTTTCCTTCGGGCTCCACCACTTCCATTTTCACTGGAGGAGTTTACTGCAGAGGACTTAGGAGGAGTTTCATTAACTGCAAAGTGTGTCCCAAAAAAAAAAAAAAAGAAGGGGGAAGGAAATCAGTCTTAGTCCCAAAATGGTTAGGAGTAAATATATTTAAACATATCAATGTCCACGTGACTTACATCTTCCAGTCTGCTCTGTGTCTTGCCGCACGGGTGTTGATGGACTAGCTTCACATGATTCTTCTCTGTAAAAGACAAGTTAAAATTAAATCATTGAATTTGTTTGAGCGAAAGAGCAATGTCCAATGGACACTAGCGCATGTCGCATCTATCAGAAAAGCTCAGTGTACACAATTTTTCGGAGTATAGACATTCAAAAAGTACATTCTTCCTTTTACATGAACATAGGCAAGGGCAATCTCTAAAATCACTGTTGCATTTTCTGACCTTGGTCACGCTTATGCCATGCTCATGGCTGAAATAACTATCAGAATTCATAGCAGATACAGATTATGCTAGATGACTTGTATTTGAAATAAAGATAGAGGCTGCTTTCTAGGCAAATCCCACTGCAAGTCACAAGTACAAACTGTTAGAAGGAAGAACTGGTGAAGGACTTTACCTTGCTTTTTTGGCTGACAGATCTGGCGTCTGGCTCCTCGATGAGGGTGAACTTGAAACTGCAGATACATTTGGGGTTCTCTTTCTTTTCTACAAGTCAGAAAGAAAAATTACATTTACACTTTAGACATTTTTGTGTAGCTTACAAAGATTCACAAACTCCAATACTGGCTATGCATGGGCAGATCTTTCAGCAAACTGGTTCCCCCCCAACATGCTGAAGAGTCAGTGCATACACAAGTGCTTTAAATGTTTTTGTATCGCCCCTTCTGAGCAGGGGGGTTTTACCCAGAAGTCTGCTGCGTCTCCTAGTAAACAGAAAAATGGGTTTAGATTCTACACCAGGACGGAAGTCTCAGAACTGTCAAAGCAGACTTGAATGGTAATGTCAAACCTAGGTGGACATGTCCTAGTAGTGCCCCAAGCTTCCCTGTTAATTTAAAGCTTATGCGCCCATACATAATAGATGTCAATTCACAGCAATCCATCCACTAACAAGTATGACTAGCTTTCCTTTTATACGCTAGAGTGCATAGTCTCATTATGAACGTTAACAGATGTTTCGTATTTGATAAGGTCTACCTAGGATGATCACAGAAGCCTCTTGCCTGTTTGACAAGGGTACGTTTTCCCTCAAAACTTTGGGGTTCAATACCTGCAGGATGACTGCGCTAGAACTGTAGGAGCTGGTGATTGCATTATGAGAAGACATTTTCATTCCATTCATTACAGAACTACTCAATGAGCTGATCGAGGAGGTGCGGGACCGTTTGTTGACATGGTCTTCCAGAACTTGTGAATGAAGTCCTCTTTTTAAGTTGTCTGGCCTGATGAAATACAAACATTCCGTTATACATATAATAAATATTCAGCAAAAGTGATAAGTCATTTAAAAAAAAGTTCACTCATGTCAGCTTTGTTCATTTGGCATCAATAAAGTTTTATACCAGTTTCTTCCTCACATAAAATGTCCAAGTGATTTAAATTAAAGACCTGTGGATCAGCCACTGTATCTATAGCGCTGATCCGCTGTAATATTGTTTCAGGAGGACGTACCCATACATCCTCCCATGAACACCTGTGTGCATGGCCGCTGCTCCCACTGTCAGAGCGGAGAGCCACAGCAGGGGAGTGTAAAAATGTATTTGTTAGTGTTGTGGAGTTCTCAGCGACACTTGCAGTGCTGAAAACTGAAAAAATGGCCTGGTAATGAAGGGGGTGTAACATGCCAGTACTAAAGTGTTAAACACCACGTTGTCCATGTCAACCAGACACTTGAAGCACAATTAATTTGAGTTAGATATTTAAGTCGATACATCTACCCAGCATCAAGGAACAAATGGCAAGCACACCTTGTCGTGCCCATGACCACATAGCATACAGCATTTTCGGAGGGGTTCAAAATCTAAAAGGCTTGTTTATGAAAAATGAGAATCTATTTAACTCTCAGCCACTGCTGCAGGTAATATTTGCTATATTTACGGTCGCCTGACTGCCCTGACCAATAGGAAGCGCTTCTCAATGGTCACATGGTCAAATTCCATTTTAATTCTATTATGTTAGTTTATAAAATACCTTTCCTGTGGACAGAGTGAGGGAGTATGTGCCTGTACAGATATAGTGGTGCTGGAGCACAGTAACAATTACAGTGCATGCTCAGCGATTCTGCATACCTAATACAGTGGAGCAGCAATTATCAGGGGCCAACAAAAACCCAGAGATTATCAATTTAAATAGTGACTGTATAGCTTTGTCAGCCCGACACTGAAACTAATGCAATTATCTGATAACAAAAAGGTAATTTACCGATAACCAAAACTAATTTAAAGAACCATACTGTCAATATGTGCAGATTACAGGAACCTAGCAAAAGAAAGTTTGCTTTTGTTTGGAGAAACTTTAAAAGCATTAGGTTTATTTTCCACTCACTTTGAGACATATGAAGGCAAAGTTCCATTTGGTAAAGGATGCTCAAATGAGGCATCCAGACTTCCACTGCTGGCTTGTCTCCTAACGGGTTTGGAATAAAAATACAGACAAGCATAAATATAAAATTATAAACAAAATTTTCCTGACTGAATATATACTACATTTAAATGTATCCAAATTGAACCTGAAATTAAAATGCTTCCATTTGATGTTTTGGCTACAAGTTGCGATATCTTTGTTCTTTAACAGTGGTAAGGAAACATGGTTCTTGGTATCACAAATGGTATACACAAGGTGTCTGCATGTACTTTTTTTTCTTAAGGTAGCCATACACCAGAAAGTTGTTTTCAGAATGTTCATTCAACTTTATAATAGTTGACGGGTCAAATTGAGGATCAATTTCAACCAGTGACGGAAAAAGTCGAAGGAGCTGGATGGAAATCTTTTCTTCTCGAATGAATGAAACCGTAAATGTGGTTTTCATTTAGGAAATTCCCATATTTATTCCAAAATTGAATGTCAAGTCAAAATGTAAATCAAACGAAATTTCAGGCATTTGTGAAGTCTGATGGCATTAGCGAATGATCCAGAAAGATCTTTTGTACAAATGTTGATTTGGAAATCTACCATTGTATGGCCAGCCTTGAACCTTCAGACATGCCAGAGCTCCCAAAAGTCAGCTATTCGATGCCAGTACTGATAGGTTTATTAGAGAGGGGACATGCACCTTTATTATAGTCAACGGTTACCCAGCAGATTACAAAAATTCTGGCGTTCTGCTTTAATATTCTTATACATATTGCAAGTAGCTCATTTCACACCAACTGAAAACCTTTTTTATACTTCAAACAGTATCAGTTTCTGGGCAATGGTTTTAAAAATGCTGAGCATTCCAGGTAGATATGGCAAATATTTGGAGGATCTGTGCACCTGAACAATGCAGACCACTTCGGTTATAATAACTTACATTTTTAATACCCTTACCTTCTCTTGTTTTCTAATCCTCCACTACTACCATGCTCTTCATCTTTGTTCATCCTTTTCCTGCTTTCTCTGATGGCATTGAGTACAGTTTCCTTTGCACACGGATCTGGTGCACACTGAACCAGTGGAGATGCTGGCCCTGGAGACAGAAGGTTATCCAGCCTAGAGTGGATCAAAAGCCAAGAAATGTAATACTGGGTGAGGGATTCCCATTGAAATGTATAACATCAAATCAAGTGGTGCATTAGTTCAATGTGAAAAAAAAAAAGTTAAATTGTATTGGCAACCACATCTTTCCACCCTTGCCAATGGCACCAAAATTACATTTACAAAAGGCTTGCTCTACCAATCGGAAACACTGGTCATCAGCCCCAAGGAGGTATTCTATTCCAACCATTATCTACATAACCTGTGTGCATGGACATTATAGGACTAGGTTAAGTTTTGTTTTTAGCTATAGAAAGATCACCTTTATGTAAACCATCGTGCCAATGAAGGGCGGAAAATATGAAATTCAGGAGCCCGAAGCTTTTTTCTCCTGAGGCAGTCCATTGACCACTAGAGAAAACCTCAGTTTAAGGAGTTACTGTAACTTTTAAAGAGCACTGGCTACCTGACAATCTTCCAGCCCTGTGCCAAAGTATAAAAAAAAACCAAAAAGGCACACGTTTCTACCCAGGTCGCAATTATATATGCACAAGGGGATGGTCAGATTTAAATATACAGATTCTGCTTCTTGCCAATTCTATTTATAGTAGGACCACCAGAGGGCCTGACTGAACACAAGACTGCTTTTGAATAGTGTGAAATAACTACAATCCTTCTAGATATCATATCACATCATTAAGGGTGTCTAGGCTTTAGATCACACAAGGATGTGATTTTCTATGTCAAATAATTGTATCTGATTCTTTATTGCTCAAGCATCCTAATGATTAACACAAAATCTGAAATTTTAAGGAATGCTCCACTTTAAAGTGATGCCAGGTTATGGACATTCACATATTCTGATATTCTTAAGAGGCAGTAAATGAGCTTTAAAACAAGACCTTACCAACCCATGTAGTTGTGCACTGTGGAGCAATTCATCCACAACAGTTGAGTTAATTTGCCCAACAACACACTCCAGCACTGATTCCAAACCATTCAAGCTTTTTAAATCTGTAACTATAAACTCAGAGAAAGAGAAGGTAATGGAGGACCTCACTGTTTTACATGTGAACTCTAGGCTCATTTAACACTTGCCAAGAAAACAAATATTTCAACTGTTTATAGTTTGGCTGCAGATTAAGTTTATATATAATTTAGATTTAAATTATACAAATCGCTCCTAACATAACTGAGCCATGGGATCAGAACGTCACTAGCCTGTAAAAAAAACACTACTTCCCAATGAATGTTACTTACACAGGTGAACGAGCGATATTCGGGTCTGGACGTGCAATTTTCACAGTAACTGGACTGCGCACCAGAGAAGACTTTGGGGAGAGTAAGCATTTTTTCTGATAGCCATCGAAATACACAGTAGGAAGAGAACCTGGCATGCTGTACTGTGGTTGGTGGATTGGGTAACGTCTGCGTGGGCTCAGAAAAGCCCTATTGGATATCACTGGTGTTTCTCTGAGGAAAACAAAGGCAATTGTAAGTACACTGAAGCAGATAAAACCAAAATTACCAAATATTTTACCAAGATACGTCAAAGCACGAATACTTGGCCTTTTCAAAAGGAGTACAACATCAAATATTAGCCGAAGGTATTAAAATTGTTGCATGACACTTAACTAGTTTTTGACATTTGTTTATGCCCCCCTGACTACAGCCATAAGATAGCCTCAGGACACTGCCATAACGTGGAAATGTCTTCTACAGATACCAGAGATAAGAGCCCTCCTGTTGACATGCCATTACACAAAATATAATGCATTTGTAACACCATGAACCCATATTTCCCAACATCCCTGACCCATCAGATGAATGAAAAAGATGTTTGGATGAGTGGGAAAATGTTCCGTAGAATAATCAGCAGGTCCAATTGAGTTCAATTTACTACAGCCAGTTAGAGATAGAAAAGAGAAATTTAGCAACTAAAAAACACTTCAAGCGCACCTAAACCCAAGAATAAGAAGTCATATTACAGTATACCAGTCCTTCAATGTGGTAACTGCCAGTTTTCATATGCACATATTTAGCAGGTACAGAAAATGTGTTCTTGCCAGAAATATTGCCCGTCACTTCCTTCCTTGGCTTTTCCCATCACCCCCTATGTAATGGAGATGAACGGACATTCATCTCCATTACATATGGCAGACATGTTTGAAGGCTAGCCTGGGTGACATCAATGGCTCCTTCTACAGACACTGGATGAGTGAGCATAGCCACTCGGACAGAAAGTGTGTCATCAGCAGCATTATAAAAGGGAAAAGGTCTGACAATAAACACAATACAGGCACCTTATCCAAGCTGTAAGCTGCAATTTTTTGTTTGTTTTTGGGTTTAGATACACTGAGACGTTCGAGAAGCCAACACTAAGCTTTTGCCCATAAACCAAGACAAAGTAGTAGATTGTCTCTGTATGCCAATTTAGGAATGACTCTGTAGTACTATAGGGGTGGTTTACACTGTTGAGTTGGGTTTTTCTACACCCCCACACATACATAGTGTGCACAGGACACGTAGGAAACAATGTTTATCTACATGTACACGTGTGGTGGCGTGCAGAGAAACAGCTCAATGGGCATGTGAAAAGCACAAAACAATCCCCCTTAAAGAGGAACGTTATCCAGATCATCAAAACAAAGGCACCTTGTTTAGTAATGGCAATCTACAAATACATACTTCTACATAATTGCCAGATTTTTATTCTTTGCATACCTTGGTTTTTTTCCTCTCACGGTGGCCATTTTTACTAAGGACAGATTAATATCTCCCTTTACTTCCTGGAACTCTGGCACATGTGACCATGCAAATTATCTCAGGGGAGGAAAATGCATTTCCCTGAGATTTCATGATTACAGACCTCCCAGAAATGCTCTGCTGATTTAACCTTCCCAGGATGCTTCTTTGAGCACGATTACATCCATTGTGCCAAAGAGAACCAGGACATTTTAAGTAAAATGAAAATATGTTTGTTTAATGAACACAAGATTATTTTATATCAGCATGCAGAGCTGCATGCGGGGGTGATTTTTAGCCAAAGGGGGTAAAGGTCCACTTTTTATAAGAAAGCAAAAAAAAGCCCTCAAATACCTGTCCTCCACTGTACCTGTCACCTAATCTAGGCATCCATCACGTTAGAACTCTAAAAAGGTATCAGTAACAGTCAGCACTGGCCAATCCAAGGCACTTATCCTTCCCCCTCATTAAAGATCATGTGACTAATGGCAGTAGGTATGCATCTGGCTGTGATCTAGGCCACTTGAGGCAGACCAAGTATTTCAGGGCTTCTTTTAGCAGACAAGAATCTAGAAGAGCAGAGTAAGGTTTAGGCTTCCAGTTTGTTAGGTTCCTTTTATACCTAGCATCCATTTTTAAAATGCTTTTAAAGATTTAACACTGGTGACAAGTGCAAGCCGAAGATGGAAGATGCAGTTATTAGGGCAGAACTCACCCGACAGCTGCCTGACCCACACAATAGACTCAATTCAGAAAGCTTTAGCAAACAAATAATGAGCTATATTTTTAGTGATTTCACTGCAACTTTTAAAGCTGAACTCGGCACAGTCACACAGGATACTCTCTTGCACTTGTATGGTTTACTCCAATTTCACTTCACACCGAGCTTCTCACAGCGTGCATTAGAAGCGGCAGGAATTCAGAGAGCCTGCCTCATCCATCATCCAGCTCCTTCCTCTCCAACCCTAACATGACTGGCCTGCCTCTTTCATTCACAGGATTTCAGTTCATTCAATTACAGAGGCCCAGTGTCATACGCGGGTATTATCTTGGGCAGTCTGCATGCAAATACATCCTGCCTAAAAAGGCCACTCATGCAGACTGACATCCACCCATCATGCATTATCATATTTACATAACTCGTCCCAAGTGCCAGCCAACTGTTTGCATCAGGGATAATGGCTCGAGAGAAGTACTGAGGCAAGGTGCAGTGATGTTTTCAGGAAGCTATGTGCAGCACCCTGCCGTCTCTCACACCAGCCATGATCTGCCCACATTCCAGAGAGAAGCACAAAAGATGTCATCACTGGGTCTAAAATAAGGTATGTAATGAAAACAAAAACAAAAAAGTTCTATTAAAAAATGTCATCATGTTGATGGGTTGGGGGGATCAGGGAAGCAAAAAATTAAGCAGATTAAACTTCAGATGTAAAGGTCACTAAACCCAAGATCCTTATTTGAGTGTTAGCTTCTTTAAATGAGCAAATATCTCCCATCCTATGAATGTGATTTATATGAAGTGTGCACAGGTTAGTAATCACACCCTAGATGACCACTGAGCCCGATACAGCGACACATCAGGCAAGGCAAACTATGTAAAGTTACATAAGGGCCTGGGGTCAATGGGCGTTTCTTTGTACCAGACTGAATTCTAAATGCAAAAACTCACTTGGAGGTTACCTGCAGGTCAGACGATGGGGGGTAACCTGCAGGTCAGATTCTAAGGATCAATGTGCACATGTGCATTTTTCTTTGATGCGTTTCTATTGACTTCAATAGAAAGCTCACCTCAGTACATGCATTTGGTTGTGCGTCATGACATACATGGTCCAATCATATCACAATCACACAAAAAATTAGTTACGCCGCGTTCACACAGGGGCGGTTCGGCTGCTGACATGAACGATCCCATACATTGCTATGGTGACATAATACCGTGCGGCCCGAACCACCGCCCGAATTGCCTCCTGAACCTTTTTTGTCATACTGATCAGTGCAATTTCCGTACTGCTTTCACTGGAACCACGCGGGGCGTTAAATGCGCTTCAGCACTGAAACGCAATTGAAAAACTCCCAAAACAGCTTTTTTTAAAATCCACGCGGAAACCGCACTGATCCGCAGCCGCCCTGGTGTGAATGGGGCCTTATGGACAAGACATCTTATTTGACAGCAAAAACTAACCTTTTGGGGACACCCCTTCCTTAAGGGAAGTTTGAATAGAAGACAAAAGCCCCCCATAATATGCACTGACACCCAATGCAAAGTGCATTGGAAACATTCATTGAAAATGGAAACCAACGCACATCAAATTGAAGTGACAGGCAAAGAAACCGTAGAGGTGCAAATCCAGCTTGAGGTTCACCATTTTCCAGACCAGATCTGGAACATAGTGCATTGCATTTTTGCAGCAATTTAAAAAAATTGTTGTTTTTTTTAGCTTAAAATGGTCTTACAGGTGCGTTCCAATGCGTCCCAGTGCATTCCAGACCAGACAAAATAGGACAAGCAGTATACTTTTCTGGTCTAGAACGGACTGCGCTGGTGGGAACAGAGGCCAGAAATAGCATAGGGATACATTTTGGGTCCGGAAACAGTCTGGTCTGGAGGTAATCTAGATGTGGTGTGAATAGACCCCATTTTCAACAGAGTGTAGCGGGAACGCATGTCACATTTCCTCCCATGCACGTTTGCCAGGTCGTGTTCAGGGTGTTATTAGCTGGTAATGGAATAGCATGCCCATTTCGTGTATTCTGCGAACACACACATTTGATTTTGATGCACATACACACAGGTGTGATTGAGGACTAAATAATCTCAATCTGAGGTCATGGAAACAGCCCAACCAGGGACTTGTAATCTAAGGTTAAACTTGCACCGTTACAATAAAAACAGCATTCATATGACCAGTCATGTCTTCATGAGCTCACACAGAATACCCACCTGAATGACAGGCGCCTGGCTGGGGTTGGCACAGCTGGATTAGGTCTGGATAGCCTCTCTTTTAATTCCCTGGTTCCTCTGCCCATTGCCCGGGCCGGGGGCTCCTGCTTGCCCAGATAGCTGCCCATGAGTAACAACAAGGAGGAAGGAGTCCACCTCAGGCCCGGTTCCCTCTGCCTCCTATGTCCCGCAGGCCTCTGCCGCCTGCCCGGAGCTCCTCCTGTTACCTGCCTCCAGTCTAAGTACCGCCACACGTGCGGCCCCGAGTTGTAATAAAGCCAGGCGCCGGCCGCACACAGCACCAGAGCGCTGAGCACAGGGAAGCAGTAGAACACTAGGAGGAGACACAGGGCCGCGGGAACGAGCAGCACAATCGGTCGGATCTCTTGACTCCGCCACGTCCGAAGCGCCCGCTTCAACCTTACCCACCGCCCTCCTCCGTGCCCGCTGGACGGACACATGATCCCCCGCGCGCCGCGCCAGGCCTTAAATACCCAGCTTGCTACGCGCTCGCTATCCCCTAGCCGTCACATCCCGTGTAACCAGGCAACGAGCGCACACCACGCCCACAAATTCGTTTCAAAAGGACTCCCGCAGCCTGTGTTTGCCTGCCGAAGGCGTGACGTCAGTTCCCGCGGCTGTCTGCTGGCTCCGTCTTGGATTCGGTTGCTGAAAGTCACGTGAGAAAAGGGGCCGGATGGAACGCCCACCTTTTCAGCCAATTAGATTTTGAGATTTGGCCACATGGGAGGGTCATGTGGTCCGACGAGGGTGTTCAAATATGTGTGGAAGTCATGCAATTCAGCTTCCCTAGAGATAGCTGACTGGCACTCTACATAGATTTATGGGTAGTCACATGGCTGGAGGGGTGTGAGCCCTCCAACACTAGTGATACACAGCGGAATGCCGTTGAGTTTGCGGTATTACCACCAGAGGGAGGTCCTAATAAAAAGGAACCCTCCTAAGAATGCACCTTCCATGCCAAACAAAAGGCTGCTTCTTGACAAGACCCTCCCCAACACAAATGACTGGAAAAAGCTGTTTGTAAACAAACACTCTCCCCCCCCCAACAAAATGAATTTAACGCAGAGCTCTGATGCTTCTGAGAGGTTCAAGTGATGTCACTGTGACTGATGGAAAGAGCTGGGAGCTTGAGATCTGTGAATATGCAATCCATTGCAAGAGGACTCTTGTAGCGTTTGGAGTGCCTAGCCATCCCCGGATATTTCAAAGCAGTGGCGTCACAAGGGGGGTGTGGCCCGCACTCGGGTGCCACCATTGGAGGGGTGACACCAAAATGACTTACGGTCATTTTGTGAAAAGTCGGGCGCTCGGTCATGGACCGAACGCCCGACAGTATCAGGAGAGAGGAGGGTACCCGTCGGCATACCTTATCCCGCCGGGTGACTGCCCCCTCCTCTCTCTGCCGGCGTCCATCACCAAGATGGCCGCCGGCAGGTATCAGAATACTGCCGCGCTTGCGTGATGACGTTATCGCGCACGCAGTGACGTCTCGGCGGGGTGACACTCGGTTACCGCTCCGGGTGTCACCCAGCCTCAGGACGCCCCTGTTTCAAAGTATTGAAAGAAATGGACCCGTGTGGTTATTAGGGATGCACCGATTCCATTTTTTCAAGACAAAGTACAATATGTTCCCTCGGGTACTTGCCGATACCAATTGCCAATACTTTTTCTTAAAGGGACACATACTAGTAGTCAGATGCAGCAGTGCCTTAGATCTCACACTGCAGATATACAGCTAGGGGGCTGTAGGCACAGGAGTATCTAGGCACCTTCACATGCACTGCTATTATTCAAGAAGAGTTGAAGACAATAAGTTCATTTTCAGGGTCCTGCTTAGGAACAATTAAAGAAGAATTATGGGGAGAGTGAAATACACTTTTCCCCATAATTACAGCCCATGTGTGACACTGAAGCGGTCACAGGTCGACTCTATTGATCGTGAATTGAGCAATTACATACCGCCGATCGCTCATTTCCGGACCTTTTCCCTGCAGAGAGTGGTGACTGTCAGCCACCGCTCCCCGCAGGGATTCCCTTCTCCATCCCACCAGTGCGGACTGGGCGGGCACAGCTGGCTCTGCCTCTATAGAGGCAGAGCCAGCTGTCAATCAGCCAGTGGAGTGGATCCCGACAATATTGTAGGGATCCGTCCCGGCTACAGCGTGGCTCTGCACTGTCAGCATATAGCGGGCAATAGTCTGCTACATGCTGAGTTTTGGGTCACAGGACGACATACAGTAGTATATATCTTCCTGTGATCCTTAAGAGAACTATGGCCAAAAAAGGTTGGGTCATAGTTTTCTTTTAACATTTCTAGATGTTCCCTATACCATAACAACCTTCACTCTTTGTTCCCAGTGGCTGCTCTGTTCAGCCACTGGGAGCAAAGAAAAGTCCTGTTTAAGGTATACTACAGAATCGTCGTGTGACAACTCTGGTTGGTCCAGCAGTGTCACCAAGGTGAGTCAAGTGCTCCTCCACACACAGGGTAATACTGGGTATTATTTCAGCTCCCTTCACTGAGTGGAGCAGTGGGGGAGAGAAGGGGACTGGGGGATTGAAGAAAACCGGTTGCTGTGTCCTGAATAGGCAAATCACAAAAAATGAAAGTGACCCAAAACTTTAATGGTTTCCCTTTAGTTTTGGGGCCATGTCATGGGATCCACTTTATGTTCATTATGTTTACATATTTGTGTTACCGTCTAATACGCTGTAGTATAGCTTTAAAGTATTTGTGATTTAGTGGTTCCGTTTATTTCTTTATTTTATTTACCAGGTAAATCAACTTGTGATGCTTTCTCCATACAAGATATTTATGGAAGTCAGAAGACAACTGGCCACCGCACAAAAATATTTTATTCTGAGTTTGTTGAAATTGTGCATTAAAATAAATAACAGCAAAACAAACATTAGAAATTGTTGATTGATATGGTTTCTCTCATCTGCATGCATATCACTTCATCAATGTATAGAGAATTTTCTTTAACTTGAATTTCCTCTTCTAAAGATAGCTGGTTACGGATCAGGCCTTTCAACTCAGCTTCTGCATGGCTCAGAGTTTCACGCAGTCTGCAAACAGAAAGACAAACAGTTGGCATTTTTTCCATTTAAAGAAGAAAATCTATATTAGAACTAGGGATCCACCAATACCGATACTGGTATCGTTATCGGTGCCGATATGAGTATTTGGGCGAGTACTCGTACTCGCCCAAATGCTCCAATGCCTAGCACGATTACTTCCGGTATCAGGAAGCCGGGCAGCGCGTCATTACACGCTGCCCGGTTTCCTGATTGACCGGGAAGCGTCTCCATGCTCTCTCGTCCCTTGTTGGTCGGAAAGATGGCCAATCAGTAACCCGGGCGCCGTGTAATGACGCAGCGCCCGGCATTCTGATTGGCTGGGAAGCTGGCTTCATGCTCCCTCGTTATCCCATGACGAGGGAGCTGGTATCCCGGCCAATCAGAAAGCAGGGCGTCGCGTCATTACACGGCGCCCGGCTTCCTGATTGGCCGGCCAGACGGCTCCGGCTGGGTACAGGAGGAAGACGGCGTTCTGGCTGCAGAGGCCCGGGGGGGTGACAGGCTGGACAAGGTAAGTGGGGACAGACTTGATTGTTAATCAGGAAGCCGGGTGCCGAGTCTTTACACGCTGCCCGGCTAATCAGGAAGCCAGGTGGCGAGTCATTACACGCCACCTGGCTTCCTGAATGGGACTTCCGTTACTCGGTAATTGGTATCGGCGAGTACCGAAAAAAATTAATCGGTACTCGTACTCGGTACCAAAATACCGGTATCGGTGCATCCCTAATTAGAACCCATCTCATGTCACGATCTGGGGTCCGGGGCACTGGTTCGTGTGAGCTCTGGGTCTTGCAGAGTGGGTTAGAGTTGCTGGCTGAGGTGATGTCTGGAATGTTGGTCACAGGAAGCTTGAGGACTAAGGTCTCGTTCACACCTAGGCGTATTGCATATGCGCGTCTGTCGCGCGTTTTTTTACCGCGATTCGTGGTAAAAAAGTCGCACGACCGTCGCGCGTTTCCGAAGGCTACTTGGCTGTATCCCAATGGAAACCCGCAACAAAACGGCCCAAAGTAGTACCTGTACCTTTTCAGGCGTGGGCCGTTTTGTAGCGCGTTAGGGACGGGCGGAAATACGCCAAGGTGGGAACGAGACCATTGAATACAATGGGATTTATATTTTTGAGTAGCGTTCGTCGAGCGTAGAACGCGCTACAAAACGTTCAGGTGTGAACGAGGGCTTGAGAGTCTGTGTGTTTTTGGGGACGCACTAGAGGAGCAGGATCTAAGAAGGGTCAGGTTTTCCACAGAGCCTCTAATGATGAGGATGATTGGCTGCTGGACACCTTCCAGGTGGCAGGGAACTGGTTGCAGCATCGGGGCTCAGGACACAAAGACAGACAGGGCAAGGCCTGTACACAGACAGCAGTCCAGGATATAGAGGGACACAGGAGCAGGAATCCAAACAACAATGGGAAGGGAACACAAGGAGACCACAGAAAGGCAGCACAACACGCCTATACGGAGATAACAGAGGAGCGAGGCTGCAAGGACAAACAGCCACACAGGAGGAAGACAAATTTCACAGGGAGCACAAGGGAATGACAGGAGACACAATAAACAAAGCAGGTTATTAGTAATTCGCACACAGGGGGTCCAGCTAAGTCAAATGGCATATTGCTAGAACACTAAGAAATAAGCGAGCAAAAAATGTAACACAGAGGTTCAGATTTGATTGGCAGGAAGCCGAGCACCTGGGACAGGAACCAAAACCTGGCGCCGGATCATGGCACAGGGAAGTGTGACATCTCGGGGCAAGCAAAAAACTTACCCTTGCATTGGGGCTCCCACTGCCACACTGCAAGGGTTAATTGCTTGTTTATGTGTAGGGAATGTTATTAAAGCTGTTTTACTTACCCGATTCCTGCTCCCACCGTCTCTGTCCAAGCTGCTAGACTGGTCTCCGCAGCCTCTTCGCGCCAGAGTTCTAAGGACCGCTGACATCATCATGTCTTATGCCGGTCCAATGGGGATGTGAGGATACTGAGGGACATTCCAACATTCGGAGCGGAGGGAGAGAAGAAGTGAGCGCTGACCAGCATGGGAGCTGGGATGAGGTAAGTAAAACAGCTTTATTTGGGTCTCCTAGACAAAATGAGCACTTAAAAGGAGAAGTATGGGGTCAGGGCTTTCCCCCATAGTTCTCCTTATGGTAACGGGAGGATACAAACTAGCATCCTCCCGTCACCCTAAGCTCAGTATACAGCTCGCGGTATCGATCTACTGAGCCGACCTGTGACAGTCTCATTGTCACAGGTCGGCTAGAACTATGAGGTGAGTGAAAAGCACTCACCTCATAGTTCTCCTTTAACCCTTACATTGTGGGGGTAGCCCCACGGCAATGGTAAGTTTTATTCTTTGCCAGAGTTGCCCAAGGCCAGAGTTGAGCATTAAACTATCACAGCAGATGAGCTTGGAAGATCTAGTGGAATATTCTAATTGTCTATTCTGAAGAAGGATAGTGAAAACCAGTGGAGTATAGTACCATCATACAGGCAGAAGTGATATAGAAGAAACTAAATAGCAGTTGTTTTTGTCAGAAGAAGGGATTAGTCAAGGGACTCATCATTTGTGCATTTTTAGATGT